GTAATCTCAAAGCTCATACATGTGCTGGGAGGCAGAGATGGACAAAGCCTATGGATCAGACAGTCTGGCACACTCAGTAGTGAAAACTCAAGGGAAAGAGAAACTTCCTTCTTAAATAATGTAGAAGGCAAGAACCAGCATTTTAGATAGTCCTCTGACTTCCACACATGCTCTGCAGCAAATGTGCAACACACACACACACACACACACACACACACACACACACACACACAGAGAGAGAGAGAGAGAGAGAGAGAGAGAGAGAGAGAGAGAGAGAGTCATAGTTAGGGTTTCTATTGCTGTGAAGAGACACCATGACGACAGCAACTCTTATAAAGAATAACATTTAATTGCAACTAGCTTACAGTTTCAGAAGTTCAGTCCACTTTCATCATGGACATGGCAGTGTGCAGGCAGACATAGTGCTGGAGAAGGAGCTGAGAGTGCTACATCGGGAACCACAGGCACCAGGAGCAACTGTGTCACTGGGTGTGGCTTAAGCATAGAAGACCTCAAAGCCTGCCTCTATAGTGTCACACTTCCTCCAACAAGGCCACACCTACTTCAAGGCCACACCTCCTCATAGTGCCACTGCCTGTGGGCCAAGCATTCACACACATGAGTCTATAGGGGCCATGCCTATTCAAACCACCACATTCTACTCCTTGGGCCCCATAGGCTTGTCGCCATAACATAGTGCAAAATCCATTTTGTCTAACTTCAAAAGTCCCCACAGTCTATCACAGTCTCAACAATGTTTAAAAGTCCAAAGTTCAAAGTCTCTTCTGAGATTCATGCAATCTCTTAAGTGTAATACCCTATAAAATGAAAATCAAAAGGCAGATCACATATTTCCAACATATAACAGTATAGGATATACATTACCATTCCAAAAAGGAGAAAAGGGAGCATAGTAAAGAAATACTGGACCAAAGCAAGACTGAAAGGCAGCCAAACTCCAAACTCTGCATCGCCATGTCTGATGTCAAAGCGTTCTTTGGATCTCCAACTCCTTTTAGCTTTGTTGACTGCAACATACTTCCTTCTTTTGGGCTGGTTCCACTCCCGTTAGGCAGCTCTCCTCCACAGGTATCCATCCCACAGTTCTGGCATCTCCAACACCTCAGGGTCTCTAAGGCAATCCAGGCTTCATCTTCACAGCTTAATACAATGGCCTTTCTAGGCTTCCGTGCTGAGACACCCCCGCCACTGACCTGCCCTCGGTGGCTTTCTCTAGTCTCAGAGGGAGATCCCATAACCCCTTACTTCTATGCTTGACTCCAAAGCCAGAGCTACACGGCTGAAGCTGCCAAGTTCTGCTGCCTCCTGAGACTGGAACATGGCCCCTTTGTTCAATTACATATTCACAAGCCTTCTCTTTTCAGTGGTTTCCTTAACTGCCTAAGCTTGGCTCTCCTGGAGTTTGATCTGTAGACCAGGCTGGCTTCAAACTCCATCAGCTGTTTTCCGAGTACTAGGATTAGAGGTGTGTCCTACCATGCCTAGACCTAAGCTGTTCTTTAACTACTTTTCACAAGTTGGAAGCCTAGCTGGGTAGGATCTTGTGCTGAGATCATCATTCCTTTTTTTTTTTTTTCCATTTCTTAATCTATTTCCTTGAACACGGGAATCAACTCTATTCCACTTTCTGGCCCTCATTTTCTCTTCAATCCATACATTTTATATTTTTCCTTGCTCAGCTTGCTTCTTCATTATAAATCTTCGAAGAGTCAACACCAGTAACTACACAGAAGAGTCCATATCAGGCTGTGTTGAGATTTCCTTTGCCAATGCAATTAATCTAAAACTCTTCACTTTAGCATCAGGCAGACTTTTTGGACAAGGGCAAAAGCAGCCCCATACTTCACCAAAATATTGCAAAAATGATCTCTAGACCACATACCAAAAGTGATTTTCCTTTGAAACCTCTTGAGCCAGGCCCCTGCAGTTCAAATCACCCTTAGCACCACTGTCTTCCAGGCTCCTACTACTAAGCCCCACTTAAAGTATTCAACTGATTTTCTAACCCCAAACTCCCAAGGTTCACATTCCTCCAAACAAAAGCATGGTCAAGCATATACCCCAGTCCCTGGTACCAACTTCTGTCTTAGAGTTTTTATTGCTGTGAAGAGCAACAACAACTCTTATAAAGGAAAGCATTCAATTGGGGCTGGCTTACAGTTTCAGAGGTTTAGTCCATTATCGTCATGGCAGCATGTAGACAGACATGGCAATGGAAAAGGAGCTGAGAGTTCTGTATCTTGATCTGCAGGTAGCAGAAGCAACTGTGTCACTGTGTGTGGCTTGAGCATACCTAAGACCTCAAAGCCCACCCCCACAGTGACACACTTCCTCCAACAAGGTCACACCTATTCCACCAAGGCCATACCTCCTGATAGTGCTACTCGTTATGGCCCATAGGCCAAGGATTTATACATAAGAGTCTATAGGGGCCATACATGTTCAAATCACCATACACACCATATATGAGAAGTTAAATACAAGAACTTCCAGAGAACTTAATATTGGAGCAAAGAATGCCTCAAACTCTTATCTGGTATTCACTGGATTAAAGAGAACAATCTTGAAATAATCTGTTTAAAGAAAGTCCCATCAAAATAATAATTTTTACCTTTTCTGATTAAAGGCAGAATCACAATTATTGAAGGGAAAAGGAAACAGTACCTGTTGTGACCACCCTTTGAAGAGAGTGTCAGTCGTCTGCAATTGTCCTTTACACTCTTCTACTGAGAAACACTGTTCCAGTGAGCCACTTGAAACCCAGTGGCCACATTGCTCAGAAGCCTCATTATAAAAAGTGATGGATTCCCAAAGATGGGCCACCAAAGACCACTTCCCTCCAAATGGACTATAAGCGTACAGAGAACCATGGCAGAGAATCGGACCTGTGCATACCTAGTGGAGCTCACCATACTACTCCAAAGTCATCCGACTGCAGCTCTAACCTAGCATGCAGCGTGAGCACACTGCTCCATCACTGCCTGTCTGAATCTGGACAGCGAAAAATGGGGCTTCCTGGGAATCTGGGCTTGAGAGAAAGATCCCTCTAACAGATGGGAAGACAGAAAAGTTTCTCTCAAAGCTTCCCCAAGTCCTGTCTTTATTTTTTTCTGCATCCTCCAGATTCTAAGAGGTGAAGAGATGCCATGAAATACACAGTTTTGTACCTCCATCAGTGAGGTGTCTGCATTTGGGGAAAGTTGATTCTTAATCACTACTGGTAAAACTGTCCCTCAGTACACTCCTCTGCAGTATGGGCTGAAACGTAAAAGGACAGGCCCTCTGGTCCAGAATGGAAGGGATCTGAGGCTGCCCAGACAAACCTTCCTAGGGAAAATGGACCAACAAGCTAGGAACAAATATTGAGAAAATAATTGAAATAGAGAAAAACCTAAACAACAACTGGAATAAATGCTCACCAATAAAGCAAAGGCTACAGTGGCTATCAGTGTCCTAGGATCCTAGGCAACATCAGATATATAGAAGCTGTTCTGTGGACACAGACAGGTGCAGCATAACCTTGTAAACACTGGATGTTCTCCTACCCTTCTAAACTTACAGGCTGAGTGCTCACTCCAGCCCTCTGCTTATGGTTGTATTTGGAGATGGAGTTTAAAAAGGGGTCATTAAGGTAAAATGTGGTCAATAGAGTCAGCTCTAAACCACTATTTCTGCTGTTCCCATAAGAAGAAATCAGGACACAAACACACACAGAAGAAAGATCTTCGGAGACAAGGGGCAAAGACAACCATCTGCATGCCAGGAAGAGAAGCTTCGACGATACCAACTCTCCTGACACCTCGATCTTTGCGCTTTCTGTTTCAGACTGTGAGGAAAGACTTTATGGATGTTCAGGGAATCTAGACTGACTTACTTATTAGTGCAACTGCAGCCAATGAATCCTTACTATTAGATGTCAGAAAACACCGAGATGTGAGCGCAAGTGTGTACAGTCAATGAAGAAACAAGTGGAAGGACCGACCCTGTCTGGTGACAGTGGTCACACATGGAGAGAGATTGGAGTCAGGGATCGAGATGGTGCCTAAAGAGGATTTCAGCCTGAAAAGCTAAGAGTTGAGAGTGTGTAGGATCATTTGCATAACAAATTTAAAAAGCCACCTTCAGGCTGGGGATGTAGGTTGGTGTTAGACTGTGTGAACTAGCATGAACAAAGCCCAGATTACATCTCAGAAATACACACACACACACACACACACACACACACACACACACACACGTACAAGGGGTCAAGGAAAGAATGAGAGAAGGAGAGAGAGAGAGAAAAAAAAAAGAAAGACAGAAAAAAGAGAAAGCCGGAAAGCAACCTTCTCCATCATGAGCATCCACACGGTACACTCTACCAGCTGAGTCCAGCTCTCTCTGGGGGTTTACTCCATGCCCACGACCCTCTTTACACTCGCAAGCCTGAGTATCATGGTACTGTCCATCTTTGTAAGGCTTTGTTCCACTGTCCATCTCTCAGGCTTGGCACACCAGTTCCCTTTTACTCCAGAGATTCTGACCTACCCTCTGTGGGTAGCTCAAGTGCCAGCCATTTTATGAGCATGCACAAAAGCTTTTCCTGGTATGTTTTCTAGATACACCATCATCTTATTTGTGTTGATGACCCTAATGCATAATAATGGTGCTACAGCCCAACACTGCTCCTTTGGCTTCAAAGAAATGAGTGATAGGCATGTTCTCTGCTGGGCGGTATTGCCCTCAGTGTATCCCAGAGCTCTACCGTTCTATCTGTATCTTAACAGACTCTCACAGTTTAAGAGGCAGATTGCAATCAGGACGTAAAGTTCTTCCCTCAAATTGGGTAAAGGGGACAACCACTTCTGGGCCAGCCGAGACCCATTTGCTGTAAACTCTGATGAAAAGAATTTTATTCAATTCTGTGTCCACAAAGTTTTCAATTTCTTAAGCCACAGTAGGTCTACATGGACCTTCTCATGCCCTCTAGCCAGCCTTACCGTTTCATGGGCTTGGGTGAGCACTCTCTCTCCAGGTTGGAGCAGGTGTGTTTCACGTGCATGGCATTATAGGAGGTGTGGGTATAGTCATTTTCATCACTGTAGTCAGGACCAAGTAATGTCCGGGCCCAAGTCCCCATGTCATAAGGAGGGAGGGTTCCTCCAAATTCAGAGGGCAGAAACTCAGGGTGTATCAGCTGGTGAAGGCTGTTTAAGTTGTTTCCATGTAGGAAAATCTAGAAAGGAAAAAATATCAACATAGAAATTTAAAAATACGGTAAGTGTTTAGTTTAATGCACAATTTAGCAAAGACAAATTGTACATGTCTCTGGTGACCATGGCATTCAAAGAGGCAATTATTTTGTACCCATGGCTTAGTCATAATAAAAGGCTATTTTATTGCCTAAAAAATAGGCTGAATTGGTAGTTGTTTTAAAAAATGAAGCTTAAACCCAGGATAGCTAAAATAATCTTGTACAATAAAAAATGAAGTTTAAGAATAGAGTGGACATTATTTGGCCACCACTCAAATTTGCACACACAGTCACATCCTAGTCATTCCTGCTGAGAACAGGGAAGTGATGTCCATTGCTCCAAAGCTACCATTGCTCCCATGCTTTGAATGCTATGCTCCTACCTGAGAACTCTGGCCCCCAGGACCCCCCCCTCAGTTCCACCATCTTCCAGGCCCCACTATGTACAGCCTCTCCCTGTAGGGGTCCGTTCTGCCTTTCTTCCCAAATCAGTCCCAGGCCCTATTCATGCTGATTCTCCATGCCCTTCTCCCGATGATCTATTCTGTATCTGATGGTGTCTGGCTCTGTTCAATTGTGTTCCATTAGGTCTTAGGGAAAGAGATGATGATATTTTACTCTGCTAACATAGCCTGTAGTTCCAAAGATGGTGTGTATGTAGATAGATGCTACACACTAGATAGAAGCTGAATCAGTTCCTGTTCAGTGTAGAACCATGACCTGAGAATGTGTTGTAAGAAGTTCTTTGGGGCAGTTTTCCCTTCTTGCCTGTATTGAGTACTGATACCCCAACAAGTTTGTGTCTTCTGAGCACACAGTGTTTAATGATCGAAATTGGCCAAAATGAGACGAGGGGGTAAAGCTTCACATTTCAGTTATTTTTAGATAAATCCACAAATGGCATGCAATAAGTAGATAACTCTCACTGACTACAATTTAGAAATTGACCTTGAAAGTTCATTTAAAATACATCTGTAATGACATTGGTTCCTACACACATTGCAGCATGAAATAATTACATCCAGTGCATAAGTTACACACAATTAACCACCTGGAGTAAGTAAGCAATACTCAAGCAGAACACCATCAATTACATGCTTGGCCATACCTGGCACAGCTAACAATGGTGGCATCCAAATGTGAGTTTTAAAATACCCACATTTGGACCTCAGCAACAAACTCATTCTCTTCACTCTATCCTGTCCTGTTTAACAGCATCATGTAAAGACGAAAGGGAAAAGGAGGTAAGTGTGGAGCTCTTCTGGGTGCTATAGCGCCTGGGAAGGCAATGTGCATTTCTGACATTGCTGTTGGATATGACTGAAAGTTATTAAAAAAGATTTGTTATGAATAAACTAAAATATTCTGGCATTTATGAAACTTCATAGTAGATGCTGGAGTATCAGAATCACACAAAGTCCTGAGCCTGGTGTTTACATTCAGCATTTGTATCCACACACCCCACCCACTTAGTTCTTAAAGGATGGGGCGTGCTGAATAGCTGAAGATGGCTATTCTGGCATCCCTACTGATCGTGCAGTGCAGCAAAGAGGAACACAGAGGTAGGAGGTTGGACCTCCTTGTCCAGGGTCAAGATCTGCAGAACCCCCTGCTCTGGTTCAGCAGACAGTGTCCACGGTGGGAGGAACTCCCACAGTCCCCATGTTAGGTAGAAGATGCAGGCTTTGGGAGGCCCGATGTCATGATGCAAGCAATACTTGATACTGGCCTGAGCAGACTGAAGAATGTCTCAGAAGGTCCTTGCTTCTTGATACTGGTGATACTGGTTCTAAATTCTGTCCTTGTTTGGAAACAGAACTTGTCCTTCTCTCATAGTCCCCTACAATGTTCTCTAAAGATCAAGAAGCATCCAAGGCTTAGGAATTTGGAACCCCAATGTGTGTGTATGATGTGTGTGTGTGTGGGGGGGCGTGTGTGTGTGCATGTGTATGCTCATACTACTTCATCAGTCACATAACTATGCAAGGTAATGGATATCTTATCATAATTGTAGTGATCATGCTACAGTGTATTCATATATTAAATTGCTGCATTGTGTTCCTTAAACACACACAATGTTTACTTGTCAAGTATGTTTTAGTAAAACTATGGGGGAAAAGATAAAGGGTAAAAAGGAATAAAATCACCAAGTGTCTGGTATGTGAATGGCATTATTCTCTGTTTTCATATGCTGTCTCACTAAATTGCTCCAAAAGTCTATGGTGTAGGAGTTAGTTTCCCAAGTAAAAAATGAGGACAGTGAGATTCAGGGTAGCTAATGGATGCTTGCTACTCAGCTGAATAGAATGCCATACAGGCCCTGCTCTGATGAAAGAGCCTGGCTTCTCAAATGTTGACTGATGTCATTATTATTTCAGGCCTTCTTTTAAAGATTATTACATCCAATGAACAACGCTTTCAACCTTACATATGATGGGTCTGGATGTTACCATTCAAGGGCTAAGAGAGAAAAAATATAAAGAACCACTTTTCATAGTGATGATACAGGACAAAATGTTAGCTACTGGTGTAGCCCATAAGCAAGAAGTAGCAACCAGGTGAATGCCTGCCACCCCAGAACTCCAGACATGGAGGCAAGAGGGTTAAGAACTGGAGGCTAAGGTCTGGAGAGATGGCTCAGCAGTGAAGAGCATCTGTTGCTGCTGCAGAGGGTCCACAGGGCAGCTCACAGTTGTCTAACTCCAGTCCCATGGTATCTGATGCCTTCTCTCGGCCTCCATGTTCACTGCACGCATGTGTATGTATACATACAGCAGACAAAGCACTCGTTTATGTAAAATGAAAATAAATCTTTAAAAAAATAATCTGAGGCTAGCCTGGGCTACACAATTAGATCCCCCACAAACAAACAAACATATCCCCACAAAAACAAAAGAATCAAATGGAAGTAGGAAGTGGCTGCATGTCCTGCTCCCACAATCATTTGCAGTAAAATTGGCATCTCATACTTACATGCCTTCAAAGTTTCTTTCGGTTTGTCTGGCACTCTGAAAATAACCCATCTTACTGAATTATTGATTAAATACACATCATTTGCAAACTCCTGCTAAGGTGCAAATATTCAAAAATTGCAAAACCATGGCAAAAGCTGTTGGGGGGATGCACACACAGAACAGCACTATAATTGTCCTGTTGGGGGGAAGCACACACAGAACAGCACTATAATTGTCCTGTTGGGGGGAAGCACACACAGAACAGCACTATAATTGTCCTGTTGGGGGGAAGCACACACAGAACAGCACTATAATTGTCCCCGACACACGGGCACCCCCTCTCCGCCATTCACAAGTTAAAAGACACCTTTTTCTCCTTACCCGCTTTCTTGTCTTGTCTTTAAGGAATGGCTTGATGAGTGTGTACAGGGCATGGATGTACCAGGGCTGGTTGACGAAATGGACTCCTCCAAAGCGGGCAGGAAAGCTATCCTGGGAAGGAAATACAAAGACCGCGAGAACATCAGTTACTGACACTCCAGGCGGGGTGACAGCAATGCAGGGGACAGCCTGCTCCTCCAGCAGAAGCCCCCACTTCCTGGTAAAGAAAGGAGGCAGACACTCAGCTCCTCGCCTGGCCTCCTGCATTCTTCCTCCTCCTCCTCTCAATCCACAGCCTACAAATTGTACGTAGGTTCCGTGCTAGTCTTCCCAAAAGGCAATGACTGATTCATCGAGGTGGTAGAGAGCTATGTGAGACCCAGATCACAGGGAGTCAGAACTTTTCAAGGCATTGGGTAAGCACACTTCAGCTCCTGAAGGCCTGAGTACAAATCTCAGTCTGCCCTCCATCCCTCTTCTCTCCGTGATATTGTCACCTTGACAACAGCCCCGAACATGGACTCGTTGGGTTAGTCGAGCGGTTGCACAGGACAAGACTGCAGAAGGACCCTAAAGGATCTTACGAACTGAGGTTCTCTGACAACGTGTGCTGTGGGTGGCTTTCTGTACTCTCTGTCCACTCCACCCTGCAAGCACACAGCAGATCCTAGAGAAAAGATAATTGTGGTTGAGGGCTGGTTGACCACGCTAACTGAATAAGAACCCCCTCTTCCGCAGATCAGCACAGTTTGTAAATATCAGGCTTTAAGAGGATTTTCAAAATGGCTCTTAGTTTGGAATCCAGGCCAGAATAACAGCCTGTGCTTTGCACGCTGGCAAACTACTCTGAGGGTTTGAGATCCACAGGAGGAGGGACCTTGGCCGGAAGTCCTCATGCGTGGTTTCCGCAGACTGGGTCTGCCCCTGCTAATGAAATTGAAAGAGAGGCAACACCTAAATGGTATTTGTGTCACTACACGTGCTGTCAATCAGGTTCATCGCGACAAACAGCCTGGAACGAATGAACGTGTTAGCAAGACAAGAAGAGGCAGGGCTGCTAGCGGCTCAGGCAGGGAGCACTCTCCGTGGGTGTATGAAATGCTGTGCCTGGCTCTTTTTTAGTATAATTACAAGCAAAGAGGGCTATTAACTTTTTCCAGAACTCTCTGCATCTATAAGATCCCTAGGCACCTGCCATAGGGAGACCTAGTTTTAGTGAAAGTATATGGAACTGAGCTTAAGGGCTGACATTTGAAAATCTTAAAAATAACTTTTACTTCTAGCTAGATGTTTTACAAAATAGCAAATAATTAAATAGCTTGAAGGCTAAACTGGAGAATTTCAGTTTGTTTATTTATTCATTTTATTTTATTTGTTTTGATTTTTAAAAAGCAATGGAACCACCACCAAGTATGGGGATTGAGTGATCATTTATACTGACTTAAGTATGTAATGCTCTCCAAACAGGACATGGCTGTTGCCCTCTCTACCAACTGTGATTACCAAAGCAGAGTTCACACAAATTCTGGCCCATTATCCTTCTGTCAAGGAGAGTTAGGGGGGCTTGGGAGACAGCGCATTACAAGGAGGCCTGACTACCTTCCAGAGCCCAGTAACTCTCAGTGAGGGTAGTTCCCTTTGGAGGAGGAGCAGCCCACAGTCGCCCTTGCTCTGTAAGTAGTTCCTCACCCTCACTCATCAAGCTAGACTGGGTAGAACTGTTTCTTTGGTCTGTCTGGGGAGACTGGATGTTCGCCTCCCAAGGAAGTTTATGAACAGTGTGATCTTGCTACCACATCTGCTTGCAGAAAAGTCAGAGTTTCAAATGAGGTGGGGTTTTGCATGTGTAAGGGGGGAGTTGGAGTTTTTGTTTGTGCCAAGCACTGAACACAGGGCCTTGCTCATGTTGGCAAGCACTGTACCAGCAAGCTACACGCCGAATCCAACGTTGTCTTTTTATGTTCAGTTCAAGACTGAACAATGTTTTCTCAGTCCATAAAGCAAGAGGCTGTCCTGCAAAACTCTTCCCCTGTAATAAGGGCTACATCCCAGTTTCACTTTTTTTGGTCCATTTGATCTCTTATTCAGAAACATAACTTACATGATGAGTGTGAGTTCTGAGAGGCTATAGAAAAAGAACAGGATTGAAACATTTGTTCATAAAACCCAGGTTTTACTGTCTTTATTTTAATTTTTTTTTTTACTGGAACTAATAAGAACAAGTATATTTCTACTGGTATAGTCTTTTGTATCTTCTATTTTTAGGTTAATAAAGTGGAAGAAAATGCTGAGAAACAAGAGACAGTAGGAAAAAATCACAATGACATTATTAACCTTTAAAAATACCTAGAGACATTTAGTTTTAGTCTGTGAAACCTTAGCCATCAACACCATCAAAAACTGTCCTCTGGTTATACCGAGGAGGTTGAGTGAGGCGTTCCTCCCACAGCTGTAACTTCTGGTTTGGCTCAGGTCCATCAGTCTGCCAGGCTTTCACTGCCCTCGTTCAAGTCAGCCAGTGAAAAGTGCAAACAAAACACATGAGCCTGAGCTTTGGAGTTTTGGGCTTGGGTTCAAGTAGAAATAGGGTTATTTTTCTTCAGATCCCTCCCATGAACTTCAAATGAGAGGCCTTCCTCCTTGATAACAGCTATGTGAAAATGTTTTGGATAAAGCCTGGCTGTGTATTAATTTGTGAGTGAGTGTGTGTGTGTGTGTGTGTGTGTGTGTGTGTGTGTGTGTGTGTGTGTATAGAGGGAAATACTGAAATTAGGAAACCCATTGTTTTAGTTTGTACCTGGAATGTCCTCCATGGTCTCATGAACTAAGTCCTTGGTCTCCCAGGTTGTAGGGATGTATCGGGAGGTTGTGGAGCTGTAAGTCGAATGCTAGGGGTGGGCCTTTGAAGGCCATGTGCCAGCCCTAGTTCCGCTGTGGTCTATGCTTCCTGATCTGCCAATCTTTGGCCATCACAGAGCACACTGCTCAAGCCACTAAGCCTTGCTCATTGCAATCAACTGTTTTCTCTGAAACTATTAGTGACCAGAGTTTTTCCTCCCATGATACCCTGGTGGGAATGCTGTCACAGCACAGTGACGATGAGAGAAGAGACAGACAAATCAAGCTTCCCCTCAGAGTTAACATCTGCCGGTGCAGCACCTTTGGCTGACTGACCATGTAGCTGACTGCAGGTTAAGGGGAAGCTTTCATCATTCAGGGGGCCTCTCACAATCCTAAGGGACTTCATGGAGGTTCATGCCTATGGGCTAGAACAGATCTCAAATTGGTTGGCCTTGATCCGGTTAGTTCATGCCTTGCCTCCTCTTCATTTTAGCACTCACTTATGAGTGCCCATTATGCCAAACACTGGATCAAACACAGGGCTACATTGTCTAAACTGTACTTGTCTTAAATGCTGGGCTAGTTGCCAGAGTTTTTGTCTGCCTTCTGTAACCTAAGGGTTGCCTGTGTCCCTTACTATACTAGCAAAGGCAGCCTAAACTGTTACTCTAGTGAAGGTCAAACTAAATAAGCAGCGTCCCTGCATGGGGCATGCTGGGAAAGACCCAGGGGAGATCCAGAACCTCTATCCCAGTGGTGAGCAGCTACCCCTTCATCCATACCTATGATGTCAGTGGAGACCATCTGGAGAGAAAGGTCTTCCCTCAAACTTGCATCAGTGATGATAGATTCTTTACCTTCCCCACTGGGAATTTATATTTATATATTTATAACCTATCCACCCAACAGGAGAATGCACTTTCTTTATGTCCATGGGGCACACATCAAGACAGAGCAATGCAGGCCACAAAATACTCAACTAAAGCTAAATCAATGCAGTCACAAATCTACCTTCAAAACTAGAAAAGAACTCAAACTAGGAAACAGAAAAATATCAAAAAAATTGGAAACAAAACCACACAATTCTAAATAACTCATGGATGGATCAAAGAGTGTCTCAAGAAAAAAAATTAAAATACATGTAGCTGAACAAAAATGAAAGTAGAGCATATCCAAATGTACGAGGCACAGCTAACCTCATGCCAAAAGGAAATGTGCAACGCTGAACGTGTGTTCAACAAAGGAAGAAAAGCTTCAAGTCAGTACAGCGAAGCCCATTTGGATCTGGAGAAGAAGATGAAGCCCCAGCCAGAAGGAGAGAGGAGATGATGGAAATAAGAGCAGAAATCAATGGCGTCGACAGGAAGAAATGGTCAAGAACATCAATGGAGCCGAGGGTTGCTTCTTTGAGAAGGGACGTGAAATTTCCCAGCCTTTTATCAGGACTGACAAAAAGAGATATCATAAATACCAATGTCAGCAACACAACTGCCTGTCCCTTTGTCAACTTCAAAAGTACAGTCAGAGGACAAAGCTACAGCTACAAGAGGACTTGACAACCTAGAGGACAAGAATCACTTTATTTCAAACTACCACAACTCATCAGGAGACAGGCAATTCCAATAGTCTCTAATTACTATGAAAATTAAAATTGTCATAAAAATCACTCTTCAGGCATTCATGGTTTCATTAGAAAAATCCAATTCCATAAATCTCTTCCAGAGAATAAAAGAATATGTCTCAATTCTCTTATGAAACATATGTCAAAACAAGACTAGAATAATACAAATCAAATTACAGACCACTATTCTTTATGAGTGCAGATGAGGGTCTGGAGAGATGGCTCAGCAGTTAAGAGCACTGGCTGCTCTTCCAGGGGTCCTGAGTTCAATTCCCAGCAACCACATGGTGGCTCACAACCATCTGTAATGAGATCTGGTGCCCTCTTCTGGCATGCAGGCACACATGCAGGCAGAACACTATACAAAATAAGTAAATAAATCTTTAAAAAAAATGAGTGCAGATGAAAAATTCCTCACAGTATATTGCTAAATGAAATCTAGTAATTTATGAGAGGAATTATATACATTATGACTAAGTAAGGTTGACTCCAGGCCTACAAATCTGGTACAATTTCAAAAGCAGTCGATGTAATTGGATTAACATCTTCCAGTTCTTTTATCTGATACTTTGACATATGGCATTTTCCTGACTAGGGAGGGGTTGTCTCACTCATGAGTGGGACAGCAAATGAGGAGAATGGAAGCGCTTGTCTCGCAGTCAGATGAGTCACTCCATCTCACACGTCTAGGAACGTCTTTCTCAGGCTCAGGAGGGCTGCGCTGTTGTTCCTTTGCATTAGTGCTCCAGAGAAGCAGCCAGCAACTCCAAGCAGCAGCCTCTGCCTCCATGATCACACCACTGTCGTGGCTCAGACCCCACTGAAGCTTCTCCTTAGCAAGCCTCCTAGGCCGGCCTCAAATTCGGGAGCTTCCTGCCTCTGCCTCCTTCAGCAAATCCTACTGGCGTGCGCCACCACATCCAGCTGAGTGTAGCTCAGGCCTGAGCTGTGGCCTGCAAGGCCACGGGCAAGTAGCTTTTAATTTGTACCATGAACGTTGGGCGCCAGATGTAACAAATTGTTAGAGGGCCTTATTAATAAAACAAACTCCCTGACAGTTATATGGTGTTATATGTAATTGCCAGTTATATTGAACACGATATCACCACAAAAGTAGATCTGTGTCTCTGTCAGTTTAAGAGCAGCTTAGTCTATGTAGTGAGTTCCAGGTCAGCCAGAGTTACAAAGTGAAACTTTGTCTCAAAAAAAAAAAAAAATTCTCAGAAGTTACACACTGTGAGGTTCCATTTGTGTGGTATTCTTGAAATACAAAAATTAAGTAGTGGGTAGAGGGTTAAGGGGCTAGAAGTGGCCTGGAAAGGGTAACTTGAGCAGTTCTTGTGTTGGTAGGATGTCCTGTACTTTTAACCACAAAAGAAAGATGGTTGTTTCTGCCTACATGGAATATTAACAATAAACAAGTGATCCCAAGTAAAGCATTGACTTCAGGATCTTCTGTTTTCTCTGGTGTCATACACAGAGTTCAGTGACCCTGGCCATCTCTCAGTGTGCACATCATCTGTAATGGTCACGCTGTCCACACTTTGCTCCCACACGGCCACCGTGCAAGTGCCACTCATCTGCCTTTTTCTCAGTGACGTGGGCTCCCTTTCCTGCTGGATAATGTAGCACTTACTGGAACTGTTTGTAAGACTTGTAATGCCTGCAAGCTCATGTACTTTACAACTGGATTCAAAACTCATCTGAACCTGAAAATCACATAGCCTTGAGAAGCCTGGGGAGCTGCCCTCTCTAGCTCTCAAATGCCTTCACCTCTTCCTCATGCTTTCATAGGAAAACTAAAACAGAACTACTAAAGTTCACAAAACTGACAACTCACCACATCATTTAAGATGCTGCTAAAATATAACTGCAAAGAAGAGAGGGGGCACGCCACAGAAGCTGTCCTCACCTCCATCTCTTTCCTCTTAGTTCATGGGAGGCCTGGGTGTCTTCCAGCGCCTGGCAAAGGCATCTGCATTCATGTAGTTGCATGAACTTCAGTTCTACAGACATGGTAAGGACACTGCTTGCATTTAGGCTTCATCTATTCTGCTCATGCATGCCCTACCAATGACATCCATTCCTCACTGCAACGCAGGAGGAGAAAATCATCTTTAGCTAAATAAATTGGCTTCACTGGTGCAGGGAGCCTATAGAAATGCTCTACTGCATGATGATGGATTTCTATCATGCCACATAGCAATCATTAGTGCTGAAATACATATGTGTGCATTTGCAAAGAAATGAAGAACTCGTGGAAAAGCCGAGTGTGTGAGCAGATTTTCATTTGTACAATGTAGATATCAGGAATGAGTGTGAGAGAGAAGACAGAAGCTGCTCACTAGGAGGAAGTCTGGCAATAGTGCATCTGACCACAGAGTGTGGCTTGTCTCAGGTTCTCCTGGAGGGCAGTGCCCACCTCCAAGAGGCTATACCAACTCAATGTTGTCTTAGGTCCAAAGGGACAAGGCCATTTCTGAATGTCGAGATCAGTGTGTGTTGGGGTAGTTTCTTCTAGATTAGTGGTTCTTAACCTGTGGGTCACAGCCTTTTTGGGGGTTGAATGACCCTTTCACAGGGGTTGCATATCAGATATCCTGTATATCAGATATGTACATTACAATTCACAACAGTAGAAAATTACAGTTATGAAGTAGAAATGAAACAATTGTATGGTTGGGGGTCACCACAACATGAGGAACTATATGCAAGGGTCCCAGTGTTAGGGAGGTTGAGAAGCACTGCTCTAGATCCTAAGAAAAAATATCTTAGGTAATTGTTCTCCCAACGAGCAAAATTGGCCTCTGCCAAACAGGCTAGGCCAGCCAATCTTGCTTAGGCTGCAACTTAACGTTCCTGCACCTTCCTTTTCAAATTGCATTCTGAGCTACAGTTCAGGAGGAGATGCTAAGTTTCCTTACAAAGGAAAAAGTAGAAGGTGCAGGGTGTACCAAATACACACCTTCAGTTCACTGTCCGGGGAGAGACAGAAATGGCAGTGCTTTCTGTGAAGGAAAGACCTGGGCTCAGATGCTGTGCTGCCTCAGTGAAGAGACTAAATGGTCAGTAACTATGCATGGCGATCAAGAGAACGTTCATGTCCTGCTGGAGCCAAATATTAAAAAACCTTCTATAAATGAGACAGCAAGTCAGGGTGTGGTGGCAGTCACCTAGAATCCTAGCATTTGGGAGGTTGAGGCAGGAGGATTATTACAGGTTCAAAGTCAGCCTGAGCTATAGTGGGAAAATTGGAATCCCCAAATCAAAACTTTCTGATTGGGGTAAGATGAAACCTCAAAGTTGTTTTGATTTGCATCTCTCTAATTGTTAGAAAATCATGAACATTTTTGAGATATTTCTTGGCCAATTCTGATTTTTCTGTTAGCTGGGTTTCCATCACTAGGCATCATCTATGAGACCCACAGTCCATTTATTTGAATGGCTCATTTGTTTTCTCAACTCTTTGTTGAGTTCTTTGTATATTCTTGGTAGGAATTCTGTTAGACGTGCACCTATTAAAGATCCTCTTCCACACAATGGGCTTCCTTCTGGCTTGATCATTGCCTTAGCTGAATGGAAGCTTTGTAGTTTTGTGAGGTCCCAGTAGTCAACTGCTGGTCTTTATTCCTGGGCAAATAGAGTTTTGTTGAGAAAGTCCTTTCTTACACCTGTATCTTGTAGGCTACTGCCTATGTTTTCTTCAGGCAGTTTCAGTGTTTCAGGTTTGGAATTGAGATCTTTGAGCTGTTTGGAGTTGTGTGTTTTGTGTGTGTGTGTGTGTGTGTGTGTGTGTGTGTGTGTGTGTGTGTTGGTATTAATGAGTTTAATTTCATTCTTCAACAAATGGAAATCCAGTTTTCCCAAGAAAATTTATTGGAGATGCTATCTTTTCTCCAATGTATGTTTTTGACATCTCTCTCAAATATCAGATGTCTGTAGTTACATGTGCTCATGTTTGGGTCAACATTTTTGTTCAATGCGTTTTTGTGTCAGGACCACACTGGCTTTATTACTCTGGCTTTATTAATGTATTTTAAAATCTGAAGTGGTAATTGTAATGGTATAATAGGTTTCTATGCCGATGCAGTAAGCCAGATCAAGCCAAAATGAAAAAGCAAAAGAACAGGTTAATTTGAGCAAAACAACTTCCAGATGAGCCCTCCAGCCCCAGAGGTTGGGCTGGAGAAATCACATGCCAAACTAAAGCAGCGAGATTATGTACCCTGTAGGTGAGGGGTAATAATGTGTCCTCTACAAGCTGGGTTTGTACCCAAGAATGGTCAAACGCTGACTGCTTTAGGCAGGGTCTTAGGCTGCTGGCAACTTCAGGGGAGGGGCTGCCACAGTCGCCAAGAATGTGGAACTGGACTTTTTAGCGCCTTTTCTTTGTTGGAGCTTCTCTGAGACAGAAAGGTTTGGAGAGAGAGACGGGGCTTCTCAGATAGTGCTGGAGTGATCTGGAGTTCCAGCCGAGCAATCCCTCCAGCTTTTTTTTGTTGTCGTTTGCTCTTAACTCAGGAAATCTGGCAACTTTTCTGGTTCCACGTGGATTTAAAGATGTTTATTCTTTTTCTATTTCCGTGAAAAATGTGGTAATTTTTATTGGGATTGTATTGATTCTGTAAATTACCTTTGGTAGAAAGGTGAGAACGTCACTCATCCGTGGATGTTAGGATAACTACTTAGAACGCAGTTAGGAAAGGAATTACACTAGTTTAGTTAAGTGGCAGCAGCAGGTTCTCCCATAAAATCCATGGTCTCGCTATCCCCAGAGAGGTGACTAGGTTTCCAGTACTAGGACTTCCTTTCTGTTGAGTAGGACTTAAGTCCAATTAGACAGCTCTTAGCTATTGCTAAGATGTTAAGTGTCACTGTGGTGCATTTAGGAATATTTTGCCATGCTGATCCTTGTTGTGGTTCATGGGTGTCATGGATGAGTTGGCTACTGATTGCTTCTCTCCCTTGGCAGTTTTGATAACACCTTCAGGGTACTACGAAAGTTAGTCCTTGGGGAGGAGTATTTCAGACCTGACCCAGCTCAA